GAGGCGGGGAAGCGCGGTACTGGGAGCGTACACGAGATGTTCCGGGAAGGTGTGGGACCCCCGGGAAGAGGGGGCGCGCACTTGTTGATTTTTCGCTACAAAAGAAAATCTCTGAAACAGATTCCTCGGTCTTGGAGAGTTGGAAGCCGCAAAACGTGAGAAGGCGAAACAAGTCGACAAAAAACACTGAAAATCAACGCTTTTGCCCTCTCCGGGCTCTCTCGGGACGTCTCTCGAAGCTCTCTTGGGCTTTTTGGGGGGCCTCGTCGGCGCTTTGGGGGGGGGCCTCTCAAGGGTCTGGGGTGTGTTGGAGGCCTCTGAGGGGTCCTGGAGTCCTCTCGGAGGTCTCTGGTGGCCTCCTGCTCCCGCTCTTGGGCTCATCTGGGGCCTGTGCTTTGGTGGACTGGAGCTGTCTGGGGCGCGTCTTCGGCAGTCTTGGGACCGTCTTGGCCCGTCTTGGGGCCTCTTGGGCGGTCTTCGGGCGGTCTTGGGGGGCTCTTCGGCCGTCTTGGAGCGTTGGAAACATGAAAAGGTGAGAAGGCCCTGCAAAAAACAAAAAAAAAAACGAAATAACGATTTTGGGTTATCCGGGCGCTCTCGGGAGGCATCTCGGAGCTCTCTTGAGGTCTATGGTAGGCCTCCTTGGAGCCTGGAGAGCCGCCCGAAAGCTATCCTGGGTTGCTTGGGAGCGTCTTGGGCAATTCTTTTACGTTGTGGGGGCTTCTTGGGGTCGTCTTGGACTGTCTTTGGGCATTGTGGGGGCTGCCCTGGACGCCAGGAAGCGCGGTACCGGGAGCGTGCACCAGATGTGAGCGAGGTGGAGGACGCCCTGGGAGGGGGCCCGGCCTATTTGTTGTATATGTGTATACATATATGTATATATACATATATATACATATACATATACCCATATATATATATAAATATATATAACGCCGACAGATCGGCGACAGGCCTCCGATGGCGGAACCGCACGTGCCTGGCCAGAGCGCCCCCATCGGCGATGAACGGACGATTCGGGGTTGACGCATCCCCACCTGAGCCTGTCCCCCCCTAGATAGATTTTCCGTGCTTCCCTGGGGCCCGAGAACACCCTCAGATGCCGAAATTGAGCTGGGTATCAGAGGCAACGTTGGGGGGCATAGGCTAAGGGGGGAGCGCATCGATACCCAATGGCCCATGCATCGCTGATAAGCGGCCTGATAGCCCACCCCCCCCCCGGACTGTGCGGATCTGCTGTCGGGGCCTACTGGCGATGTATGGCCGATTCTGGGTCGATGTTCCCCCCCACCCACCCACCCACCCCCCACCCCCCTTCTGAGCCTACTCCAGATTTCGTAATAAAAGGGAGGGGGTCTGGACCCTCCAAGACAAGCCATTTCAGACCTCCCCCGTGGGAGAACCCTCCAAAACATCGTCCCCAGACCCCCCCAGGCCCTCCAAGACAGCCTGGAAGAGACCCCCCCCCCGAAATGAGACCCCCCTCCCTTTATTACGAAATCTGGAGTTATCCCCCCTGTCGCCGTTGGCCCCAGAACGTCTTCGGCGAGGCGCAGCTGCTGGAAGACCTCCCAGGGCTGGAGGACCGCCGAGAGCCGACGGAGATGGCAGAAAACTCCCCCTCCGGACCTGAGCCTACCCCCTGGGAGGCCTGGAAATGGGCACCAACACCAAGACAGAGGGCTGCCTCCACAGGAGGGAGGTGATCCTAGATTTCGGTGTTGGTGGTAATATTTCGGCCACCTTGGAAGCCAGAATATCACCACCATCACCGAGATCGGGATCTTCTTCCCTCGGTGGAGGCACACCGCCGATCTTGGTGTTGGTGTCAACCTCTAGGCCTGCGACCTACCCCCCTCCTAACATTGGCCCTCAGGGCAGCTGGCGCCCTCTTCTGCTCAACTCAGAGCCTACCATGTCATCTTGCTGGCTCTTGCGAATCGACGCTGATCAACGCGAATCGACGCCAAATCGACGCTGATCGACACTCATCGACGCTAAATCGGCGCTGTCTTATCGACTTCCAGACGCCAGCGCACGCGAATCAACTCGAAGGACGAAGTTACGAAGTTACGAGGACACTCGAGGCTCCCGTGATTTGCTACCGGACCAGAGCTCAGCCGAGTCGGCCCGAGCCCAGCCGATCGAGGTCGGCTCGGGACCGGCGGTCTGGGAGAGCGACGCTGCGAGGAGGGGCAACGAACCAGAGATTCGAGGCTCCCGCGAAAAACTCGAACGGTCGAGAACTTTCAGGGGTTCGGTTGAGTCGGGCCTGTCCCTCTACAGGGGAAATATCAAAGATAATAAAAAAATAGTCTGGGGACTATTTTTTAAGTATTTCTGGGCATCTTTTGAATATTTGTTGAATATTTTTATTCTTCGTCCAAAAAGCCCCCTGTAAGGGGACAGGCCCGACCTAAGGGTTCGGCCGTTTTCGTCGGTTCTTAGCGATTTTCCAACCTCGGGGTGCCTTCCAGCGGCTGCGCCTCGCCGAGAGCGTTCCGGCGGTGTCCAGCTCGTCCCGAAGCGGCCGCCGCAGAGCCAAGTTATGGCCCAAAAACCCCATGGGCAACGGCTTGCCATCGCTCGGACGTCCATCCCCCGTGCATTTTTCAGTTTTGCGCGTGGTTCTCTGCTCGATGGCCCAGGGTGCTCCTCGATTGTCCTCGCCGAGAAAAACAAAGCACACGTTCGAGCGATGCCAAGACGAAGGGGCAACGACCCAGAGATCTGAGGCTCCGAGACAAACTTTGGAGCGGTCGGAGTCTGACCGTTCTCGGGGGACGAGGGCGAGGGCGAGGACGAGGACGACAGGACGAGCCCAGAGAGGCCGGCGACGGCGAAGCGGCCGAGGAGGAGCCAAGAGATCCGAAGCTCCGGAGAGAAGTGTGGAGCGGTCGGTTTGGGGCCCTGCTCGGCCTCCAAATGCCCTCAAAGGGCCCTGGGACCTTCAACAGCGGCACAGGACGAAAAACCGGCCCTTGGCAAATGATCCAGGCCTCTTGGGATCCACGCATCGAAAACTTTGGAGCGCCGGTTTAGCGTCGATTAGTGTCGATCAGCGTCGATTTGGCGCCGACTCGCGTTGATTAGCGTCGATTCGCGAGAGCCAGCAAGATGGAATGGTAGGCTCTGCGTTGAACAGAAGAGGGCGCCAGCTGCCCTGAGGGGCAAATATTACGAGGGGGACAGGCTCAGGTCCGGAGGGGGAGTTTTCGGCCATCCCTGTTCTCGGCGGTTCTCCAGCCCTGGGAGGCCTTCCAGCAGCTGCGCCTCGCCGAAGACGTTCCAGGGCCAACGGCGACAGGGGGGGATAGGCTCAAAAGGGGGGCCGGTGGGGGGTGGGTGGGGGTGGGGGGGGGAACATCGACCCAGAATCGGCGATAAATCGCCAGTAGGTCCTGACAGCAGATCCACACAGTCCTGCGCGGGGTGGGCTAGCAGGCCCCTTATCAGCGATGCATGGGCGATTGGGTATCGATGCGCTCCCCCCTTCGCCTATGCCCCCCAAAGTTGCCCCTGATACCCAGCTCAACTTCGGCATCTGAGGGTTTTCTTGGGCCGCGGGGCAACACGAGAAATCTATGTGGGACGAAAACCTACCCCCAGGGAAGCGGTCGGGAACTCTGAGGCCGCGGATTGAAGAAATAGATCGACGGATGCCAGGGTATACACCTACACCCATCCTGGCCCGACTCGTGCTGGGTCCCCCCCAAATCGGCGTATACGCCATCCTGGCCTGAGCAGGAAAGCATATGCACCGATCCTGGGCTGGCGTCTTCCGATCTGAACCAATCGCTTGGATCATGTCAGAAACCCTGACTCCAACAAATGCATCTCTTGGAGGGGCGAATGTTGCTCCCGCCGGCCTTCCGCCCGCATTCCGCAGTCGAAGCGGCCCCCGATCGGTTCATGCCAGCCTCCGCTGGCCCTCCTCGGCTATACGCAAGAGTGGCCCTGGGAAAGAGTGACCTTTGGTGCGCGGCTTTTTGGGGGCCGCGGGGGGGCCAAACCTGGGCGCGCAACCAGCTGCTACTGCTTCGTTTTCAGCCATCTGGGGACTCATCTGTGCCCGCACCAAAGGTCACTCCGGCGAAAGGTCACTCTTACGTCTAGTCGACTTCAGCCGAGGAAGAAGCGTCGATGCCTCGACCCCTCGGGAGCGGGGCCCTCTGCGGAGCGCCTGCTGCCTCGCTCTTCCCGGGCCGTGCCCCCTCGACCGCCGCGAGGACTGCCGTCCCCCTCCCCATTTCCGGGCCGGGCGACCGGGGGCATACATATAGCAAAGGGGGGGATCTGAGAATCGGCTCACGCAGCCGATATCCCCGGCGCCTCCCGGCGCCGGGAGGCGCCCATATGCATCGAGGAGTGGGGCCGGCGGCGGGGCCGAGACCAGCTGCGTGCCGCAGACTTCGTACCCTCCCCCCCTTTCCGTATCCCCCCCTTTTCGTTCGGCCCGCTCTGCACAGAGGAGGAGGAGCAGGAAGAGGAGGAGGAGGAGGAGGAGGCGGAGGAGGGGGAGGAGGAGGAGGAGGAGGAGGGGAGGAGGAGGAGGAGGGAGGAGGAGGGGAGAGAGGAGGAGGAGGAGGAGGAGGAGGAGGGAGGAGGAGGGAGGAGGAGGAGGAGGAGGAGGAGGAGGAAGGAGGGAGGAGGCGGAGGAGGGGAGGAGGCGGAGGAGGGGGGAGGAGGAGGAGGAGGAGGAGGAGGAGGAGAGGAGGAGGAGGAGGAGGAGGAGAGAGAGGAGGAGGAGGAGGGAGGAGGAGGAGAGGGAGAGAGGAGGAGGAGGAGGAGGAGGAGGAGGAGGGAGGAGAAGGAGGAGGAGGAGAGGGGGAGGGGCGGGAGGAGGGGGGAGGAGGAGGAGGAGGAGGAGGAGGAGGAGGAGGAGGAGGAGGAGGTGGAGGAGGAGGAGGAGGAGGAGGAGGAGGAGGAGGAGGGCCGTGCCCTCGACCGCCGCGAGGACGACCGTCCCCCCCTCCCCACGCGGCACGAAGATCGGCCGGGCCTCGGCGGCCGAGCGCGCGGGCTGGCCGGAGTCGGGGGTGGTACCTGTGTCTGGAGGGGGCCGACGCTGGGGGGAGGGTCGGCGCGCGACGACGGCCGAAAGACCCCTCCTCCTCCCCCTCCTCCCCCCTCCTCCTCCTCCTCCTCCTCGCGGAAAAAATAAGACACACGGTCTCTTCGGCACGAACAGAAAATCGGTACGGAAAGAATGGGTGCAATGCCCAGCAGCAGTTTCTGTTCGGTTTGAGCAGGGTTCGCTGTTCATGCCACCGCGGCCTGTGCCCACTCGAGGCAGAAGACCGCCTGCCCAACAGCGGCCGCTGTTGGTTTGGGACGACATTTGTTGTTGGGCATTGTACCCATTTTTTCCGTACCCATTTCAAGCGTCCAGATCTCTGGCCTTTGTCGGCCTCACGGGGTCGTTGCCAGGCCCAAGGGCCGTCCAAAAGCGAGTCGGGATGAGAAGCCCGTCGGAGGGAAATGGTCTGAATCTCAGCAGGCCGACGTTGCGAACCACGACCGAAGGAGGATGAAGGGGAAGAGTTAATGCCCCACGACCGAGGGAAGACCATCGGGGAGAGAGCAAGCGCGCGACGACAATAGGAGGATGAGCGCGGTGAGGGAGGGTGCACGGCGACCGAAGGAGGATGAGCGGGGGGAGAGAGTGTGTGTGTATGGCGACCGACGGAGGGTGACTGTGGGGGAGCGCGAGCGCCTCACGACTATAGGAGGGCGCCAACAAGCCGCGGCCCATCTGCAATCGGGCTCGCCCTGGACCCGACAACAATCTCATCATGGGCCAACCGATTGCGTGCGGAAGCAAGCTTGCCACAAAGGGAATCACATCAGCGCATCACCCGAGCGAGTTTACCCCTGACCAGGAAACCTCTGCTGGAAGCGCCAGGGTCAATAAATGCCCCCCCCCCAAAAAAAAAAAAACTGGGAATCGTATACGGCCGAGCACGCGCACAAACACACACACACACACACACCCCTTTTGCGTCGGCGGCTAGGCAGAGCCACTGCGCTGGCGAAAAAAGCGTGGTGTGGTGCACGGAACGCGAATCAGACCAGCATGCAAGAGGAGCAGGAGGAGGAGGAGGAGGAGGAGGAGGGAGGAGGAGGAGAGGAGGAGGAGGAAGGAGGAGGAGGAGCGAGGAGGAGGAGGAGGAGGAGGAGGAGGAGGGGAGGAGGAGGAGGAGGAGGAGGAGGAGGAGGAGGGAGGAGGAGGAGGAGGAGAGGAGGAGGGGAGGAGGAGGGGGGCGCCCGGCGGCGGCGGGGGGGAAAGGGAGAAGCCGGGCCCGCTCACAGCAGGGCCAGGCGCGTGGCAGGGGCGGCGCTGGGGGGGGGGCCAACGGCGGCGAGCTGACAGCGGGCGGGGGGGCCGGGGGCAGCTGCGGGGCAGCGAGCCAGGCGAGGAGTCAGGTGCCCAGCTAGACAGACAAGGGCGGAAGGGAACCGCGGACAGGACACACACACACACACACACACACGACCATCCACAGCGCGCCCTGTGAGAGAGAGGGAGGAGGAGGCGGAGGAAGGGGCGGGGAGGAGCGCCTCACTCAGGCGCGCCCGGGCGCGCCAGGAGGCACCTCAGCAGCGCCTCGCGCCACACGGTTTCCGCGCCGTCCCCCCGGGCAGGCGGTGCCAGCAGCAAGGCGGCGGCATGCGGCGGCAACGGCGGGACCCAGCCGCTGCACGGCGTGCTTGCCGGCCGCGACCACGTCGGCGCCCAGCAGCCGCAGCGGAGGCATGCTACCCAAGACGACGCGTTGGCCCTCCACGCCGCACCAGCGAAGAGGGCACTGGCGGCGGCTGCTCCCGCCGCCGTGGGGCGCCGCGCAGGATGCGGAGCCTACGCGCGCGAGCGGCCGCGGCGGCCGCCACTGCCGCTTTCGTCGCCCTCGCAGGGCACGCGCCGCCGCCTGCGCCCCGGCGGCCGCACGGCGCGAGCGCACGCGGGGCTCAGTGGGCGCCGTCGCCGTCGTTGGCCTTCAGCACGGCCAGCTCCACGGCTGCCGCCACCCGCTGCACTGCAGCGAGTGCGTCCAGCCCTCGCTCGCGCTCCAGGAGGACTGCAGGAAGGGGCAAGCGGGCTCTGGCCGCGTGGCTAGCGAGGCGGTCCGCGGCCGCGCTGCCTGCGTGGTCCTCAAGGGAGGCCCCACGCTCGCGGGCCGCCGCGACGTCCACATGCGCCTTGACCAACCTCGTGCGCAAGGCGCCGCTGCGGCAGTGCGGGGCGACGCACTCCAACAAATCCGCGCGCGCCCACTCCGCGGGACTCGCCCCGTCGCGGATGGACGGCCGCCACGCCGCGGCTGATGAAGCAGGTTCGGCGACGATGTCGCCCGGCCCTCCGACCAGACTTAGCGCCTGCACCGCCTCGGCGAATTCTGCCCGCTGAGCAGTTTGCGAGCCGTCCACCAGCCCGCCGTGCTCGACGAAGCCCGTCGCCGAGGAACGCCAGGAAGTCCGGGGACCGGGGATGGCGCATCAGAACTGCGGCTCGTGAGAAGGAAGCGAAACTTGAAGAGGAAATCCTCGGGGCCAGGTGGGCGAAAAAACGGGTGCTCAGTGGAAGCGGGATTGGCAGGGGCAAAACTTCGGCTCAAGAAGAGGAGCCAAACTTGCATGTGAAATCCTTGAAGTGGCCAGATGCAAGACTGGGAAAGGAACACACAAAAAAAAACTATTGCAGTTGCCAGTGCCTAAGGAGCCCGGAAAAATCGCTACATGAAACAGCGGCCTGCACATATATACAGTTCTGATGGCGTGTTGGGCGAACTTCAGCTAACAAGCGGTGCAAGAGGAATTTTTTTTTGAAAAAACACACCATGTTCCCCAGCTGACTCGAATGATGAGGCCGCAATGCCGCTGCGTCGATGGACTCTTGCAGCAATGGGGAACGGGGTAAAAGGATAACGGGGTCAACCAGACAGAGGGGCAAGATCGCAAAAGTGGAAAACGGAGGAGGGCGGGAGCAGGAGGGAGAGAGAGAAATAGGAAGGGCGAGGGCAAAAAGGGGAGCTCGAGAAGGAGCAACGACTCCACACCCTCCTGCATTCACATCGTCCAGCTTGGCCCAGAGAAGCCCCGCAGGGAAAAAATGCCAGCACGAATCTGACAACAGAAACATCCTCGTGCTTTGATCGTCCAGCCTGCTTGTCTTAACTTGGTCGGTGACGGTAACCCCTGACATCCTCCCATATGTTTTTCCATCCGCCGCCCCAGAAGTCTCAACCGTCCCGGAACCATTTCTAATGGTCCCCCGGCCCGAAAACTGCCCTCCGGGCGCCGGAATGGAGGAAAACCCGCTGCATGGTTGAACAGATCATTCGCCGGGGATCTGGGAAAGCTGCCCACGTCGCGCAGTCCCTGCGCGCTCTGCCCTTGCCGGCGCGGCGCAGCCCGGGGCACCAGTGAACGAGGCGTCCGGGTGGTGGGCGACAAACAGAGACGGCGTCGCCGAGTTACTGGCGGGGAGGGGCGGGGGACGCACGGAAGAACCCATATGTAATATATATATATATATATATCTCTTAATATTGTACTCTTCTCTCTAGTACTACTACTACTAGTACTACTAGTATATTTGATCATACATATTTATTATTTTATTGTATAGCTCCCCGACGGTGCGATTTTTTTTTGTCAGCCGGTTTCTTCTTGTGTCGCTTTCGGCCCTCGCGTGGCCGTGTTCGTGCCCCGAGAAGCGGATCCAGAGGGACTGCCCCCTGGGGAGCGACGCCATCGCCCCCCCCCCGACCCGACCGGCGGCGCGAGAAGAAGCCAGGCAGAAGAAGATGAGGGGGAACGATAGGCAGAAGAAGAAGAAGACGATAGGATGAAGGAGAAGAAGCCAGGCAGAAGAAGCCAGGCAGAAGCGGCGGGACGGGATGGCCCGCTGAAGATGATGAGGGGGGAGCGATAGGGTTAGGTCGGGCAGGTCCTCCTATAGGCGGATCTTGCAGGAAACATTACGCTACCGAGGAACCCCACATACTTAATTTAAATATTATGTGTTTGCTTATGTATATTATATATATGCACAATCCTGCGTTCTGGGCCCTCGTCGCGAATGTTCCCTGCTAGGCTTTGCGCCAGTGTCGTGGATAGCGGCCGAGCTGAGAGACCACCCCCTGCGCACCCCCTGTGGTGTCGAGAAAGTGCCACGCCTGCTAGGCTTTGCGCCAGTGTCGTGGATAGCGGCCGAGCTGAGAGACCACCCCCTGCGCACCCCCTGTGGTGTCGAGAAAGTGCCACGCCTGCTAGCCTTTGCGCCAGTGTCGTGGATAGCGGCCGAGCTGAGAGACCACCCCCTGCGCACCCCCTGTGGTGTCGAGAAAGTGCCACGGCTGCTAAGCTTTGCGCCAGTGTCGTGGATAGCGGCCGAGCTGAGAGACCACCCCCTGCCCACCCCCTTTGGTGTGGAGAAAGTGCCACGCCTGCTAGCTTTGCGCCAGTGTCGTGGATGGCGGCCGAGCTGAGAGACCACCCCCTGCGCACCCCCTGTGGTGTCGAGAAAGTGCTACGCCTACTAGCCTGCGACAGTGTCGTGGATAGCGGCCGAGCTGAGAGACCACCCCCTGCGCACCCCCTGTGGTGTCGAGAAAGTGCACGCCTGCTAGGCTTTGCGCCAGTGTCGTGGATAGCGGCCGAGCTGAGAGACCACCCCCTGCGCACCCCCTGTGGTGTCGAGAAAGTGCCACGCCTGCTAGGCTTTGCGACAGTGTCGTGGATAGCGGCCGAGCTGAGAGACCACCCCCTGCGCACCCCCTGTGGTGTCGAGAAAGTGCCACGCCTGCTAGCCTTTGCGCAGTGTCGTGGATAGCGGCCGAGCTGAGAGACCACCCCCTGCGCACCCCCTGTGGTGTCGAGAAAGTGCCACGCCTGCTAGGCTTTGCGCCAGTGTCGTGGATAGCGGCCGAGCTGAGAGACCACCCCCTGCGCACCCCCTGTGGTGTCGAGAAAGTGCCACGCCTGCTAGGCTTTGCGCCAGTGTCGTGGATAGCGGCCGAGCTGAGAGGCCGCCCCCTGCGCACCCCCTGTGGTGTCGAGAAAGTGCCACGCCTGCTAGGCTTTGCGCCAGTGTCGTGGATAGCGGCCGAACTGAGAGACCACCCCCTGCGCATCCCCTGTGGTGTCGAGAAAGTGCCACGCCTGCTAGGCTTTGCGCCAGTGTCGTGGATAGCGACCGAGCTGAGAGATCACCCCCTGCGCACCCCCTGTGGTGTCGAGAAAGTGCCACGCTTGCTAGGCTTTGCGCCAGTGTCGTGGCGGCCGAGCTGAGAGACCACCCCCTGCGCACCTCGTGTGGTGTCGAGAAAATGCCACGCCTGCTAGCCTTTTGCGCCAGTGTCGTGGATAGCGGCCGAGCTGAGAGACCACCCCCTGCGCACCCCCTGTGGTGTCGAGAAAGTGCCACGCCTGCTAGGCTTTGCGCCAGTGTCGTGGATAGCGGCCGAGCTGAGAGACCACCCCCTGCGCACCTCCTGCGGTGTCGAGAAAGTGCCACGCCTGCTAGGTTTTGCGCCAGTGTCGTGGATAGCGGCCGAGCTGAGAGACCACCCCCTGCCCACCCCCTGTGGTGTCGCGAGGGTGCCACGCCTGCTAGGCTTTGCGCCAGTGTCGTGGATGGCGGCCGAGCTGAGAGACCACCCCTGCGCCACGGCGTCGGTGTCGAGGACAAGTGCCAAGCCTGCTAGGCTTTGCGCCAGTGTGTGGGGAGGCTCGAGCTGAGAAGAGGAAACCAACGAAACCACCCCCTGCGAACCCCCTGTGGTGTCGCGAAAGTGCCACGCCTGTTAGCCTTTTTTTGCGACAGTGTCGTGGATATCGGCCGAGCTGAGAGACCACCCCCTGCGCACCCCCTGTGGTGTCGAGAAAGTGCCACGCCTGCTAGGTTTGCGCCAGTGTCGTGGATAGCGGCCGAGCTGAGAGACCACCCCCTGCGCACCCCCTGTGGTGTCGAGAAAGTGCCACGCCTGCTAGGCTTGCGCCAGTGTCGTGGATAGCGGCCGAGCTGAGAGACCACCCCCTGCGCACCCCCTGTGGTGTCGAGAGAGTGCCACGCCTGCTAGGCTTTGCGCCAGTGTCGTGGACAGCGGCCGAGCTGAGAGACCACCCCCTGTCCACCCCCTTTGGTGTCGAGAAAGTGCCACGCCTGCTATGTTTTAAAACAGTGTCGCGGATAGCGACCGAGCTGAGAGACCACCCCCTGCGCACGCGAGAAAGTGCCACGCTTGCTAGGTTTGCGCCAGTGTCGTGGATAGCGGCCGAGCTGAGAGACCACCCCCTGCGCACCCCGTGTGGTGTCGAGAAAGTGCCACGCCTGCTAAGCTTTGCGCCAGTGTCGTGGATAGCGGCCGAGCTGAGAGACCACCCCCTGCCCACCCCCTGCGGTGTCGCGAAAGTGCACGCCTGCTAGCCTTTGCGCCAGTGTCGTGGATAGCGGCCGAGCTGAGAGACCACCCCCTGCGCACCCCCTGTGTGGTGTCGAGAAAGTGCCACGCTTGCTAGGCTTTGCGCCAGTGTCGTGGATAGCGGCCGAGCTGAGAGACCACCCCCTGCGCACCCCTGTGGTGTCGAGAAAGTGCCACGCCTGCTAGGCTTTGCGCCAGTGTCGTGGATAGCGGCCGAGCTGAGAGACCACCCCCTGCCCACCCCCTGTGGTGTCGAGAAAGTGCCACGCCTGCTAGGCTTTGCGCCAGTGTCGTGGATAGCGGCCGAGCTGAGAGACCACCCCCTGCGCACCCCCTGTGGTGTCGAGAAAGTGCCACGCCTGCTAGGCTTTGCGCCAGTGTCGTGGATAGCGGCCGAGCTGAGAGACCACCCCCTGCGCACCCCCTGTGGTGTCGAGAAAGCCACGCCTGCTAGGCAGCGCCAGTGTCGTGGATAGCGGCCGACTGAGAGACCACCCTGCTAGAAAGTGCCACGCCTGCTAGGCTTTGCGCCAGTGTCGTGGATAGCGGCCGAGCTGAGAGACCACCCCCTGCCCACCCCCTTTGGTGTCGAGAGAGTGCCACGCCTGCTAGGCTTTGCGCCAGTGTCGTGGATAGCGGCCTAGCTGAGAGACCAACCCCTGCGCACCCCCTGTGGTGTCGAGAAAGTGCCACGAGCTGTGCTGTGCTGTGCTGAGCTGAGCCGTGCTGGGCTGTGCTGAGCTGTGTTGAGCTGTGCTGTGTGCTGAGCTGAGCTGAGCTGTGTGCTGTGCTGTGCTGTGCTGTGCTGTGCTGTGATGTGCTGTGCTGTGCTGAGCTGTGCTGTACGAAGAGTGAGGTGTGTGTCGCGGGTGCGGCGCGGCATGGAAGAAAACCAGAACCCCACGAAGCATGTGGGGAACAAAACACAAATGCTCCAACATGGCTCAGAAGATAAGAGGCATCGTCCCCGGATTGCTTTATACTATGTTTGGATACTCCTCCTGTAGAGGGACACACCCGACTTAACGATAGGGGGAGACCAGCTCAGGGAGCAAACATCCACCTGGAATGGGCGCTGCAGCGCCGACTGATCGACGATACGCCCCAGATAGCGATTGGGGGTCGCTTCATCTTCCCCCAAGATTGCTCCTGAGGAAGCCCTGCACCCAGCAAGGTTTACATCTCTTTGGCGCATGTTTTACGTTTGCACTTCCTCTGTTTCAACACTATGCCCGCGAGTCTCAGGAACAGTGACGGACCTCGCTCAAAAAATCAGCCAGAAACGGCGCGGCAGAAGCACTTGAGACCCTGTCGGGCGGAAAGAAGAAAGCACATACGTGGGCGAGCAACGACATATGTACATGTACGCCCTCCGCGGTCTTGCCTGCACGAACGTCCGCGTTGACACGCACTCCAGGGGAAGCTAACCGCGTACGTGTACATATGTTGCTGGCCTCTGAAATACGGGGACTGCTACGAACAGGGAGGGCGGCAAGCCCCCACCTCAATCTCCAACGTGCCACCCCTGCGTGCTCCCACATCCGTGGGAGCAGCACTGCAGAGACGATTCACCTCCGCCAGCGGAGAGCCTTCGCTGGCCCTCCGCCGGTCACCCGCCGAGGAAGAGCTGTCGACCTCTCGGTGCCTCGAAGGCTGGAGACCATTTTCTGGAGCGCCCCACACGAAGACGGCGTCGCCGAGGCCACTGTGGAGGGGGTCGCGTCGGCACTCTGCCGAATGCGGCGGCCAGCAGGAAGCGTGGAGCACAAGCGTCCCCCCGCCCCTCTCCGCCCCCCGTGCCCATCATCCTGTCCCTCCGTGCATCCATCCCCTTCCTCCCTGCATTTTCCCTACGGGCAAGGCAGGAGGAGGAATCCACTGCCCCTCAAGAGGGTTATCCTCATGGCGCACACAGACGCACCACGGACAAGTACTCAAGAGAGAGACGCCGCAGCAAGCCAACTCAACAGACTGTCCTGCGACTGTGGCCGAAGCTCCGCCGATCGATGTCGACCGCCCCTTTCCTCCCTGCTTCTGGCTTCCGTATGGAC